AGGATGGGTGAAAAAAGTCAAACAGATAAAAAATGGCTAAAAAGCACACTCTAGGCTTGAATTCAATACCTCGCTTAGAAGGCTATATTTTAAATTAAGGCTGTGGGAGTTTTGTAACTCAATAAAATATGGTCACTAAACAAATATTAAATAAACAAATCACTAACAAAACAGCTGTGTTAATTTTTTTCATATCAATCAAGAAAAAGACTAATTTAATTGTCAACAGATCTCCCATAATTGTTTCTTTGGGCTCAAAACCCATATCCAGCACAAGTAATTTACCTAAAACTTAAAAACCAGTCTTTTAAAAACTTGACCACAAATAAACCTAAGATTATTTTCAAGACATTTCAAAAGAAATTATAAACCTAACCCTCCCTCAAAACTTTGCTGTTAGCAATAATACTTACCCAAATTTATTTCCTAGAAGAACAAACAACAGACCTCTTTCATAACGTGGGATATGATAATCATTGTTTCCTCTCATGCAAATTAGCCTTTTTGGCTGCACTTTTGAGTGAAAATCCCATTTTTGTAAACATGATGTTAAGACTACAGAGATTAATTTACATGAATATAAAAGAATAGAAAAAAGACTTGTCTTTTATGAAAGAGTAATGGGGGTAAGTTTCTAAACAAACCATGGTGTTAAGTCAGTGGTAGGTATAACAAGATTGGTTTCATCAGCTGACATTTTGAGTGTCAGTTCTTCATCTTTTGCACTGAAAAGGGCTAATGATAAAAAACTCAGCTTTTGAAACTCTTTACGGAGGCTAATTTACATCAACACCTCAGTTGATAATACAAATTGGTGGTTTTCACTGCTATGCAATCAAAATCTAAATCAAAACTGTTGAATGCCTGACACCAAGAGAGTAAGCTATTGCGGAATATTTATAAAAAAAACTATTTACCCAAGTTCAGGTCTGTAGGGTTTTCCGTAGTTCGAAATGACTCTATTTTTACATTTGAGAACCCCACTACACTGAAACCTTTCCAAAAGGTTAATTTTACAAGATCTTTCATCTTTTGGAGGTTAAACTGTTATAGCCGTTGTTTTTTTGGATTTTGGATTTTTCTGACCTCACATGAAAACCAAGGATTTATAAAAGAGGTCTATCATACCCACCAAGTAGGTTGGATAACCGCAACACAAATGAACAGCCTTGACTACATCAGGAGATGTAACTCCGTCAAAACAAGTTGAAAGTTGATCAATTCCATAATCCAAAGCCTCATCAGGAAATCGCATTAACACTGGTTCATCAACCTATTGGCATAACAATGAAAACACATTACATGGTAAACAGAAAGGCAAAGGAGAGAAGTGTTCTTTCAGAAGAGAGTTGGCCAGACTCAAATACCACAAGGGCTCTTACATGTTATTATAGATCTTAAGTCACTACATGCACTTAATGACTGGCCGCTAGGGAAACACTGACGTTTATCTCCCTAGATCCAGCTTTTCCTCTAGGTGAAGCTGGAGGATTGGTAAACAACATTGACAAAAAGAGTGTTGTTATACCTCCCTACTCTAATACATTTTCCCATTGGAGAAGAATCAAAAGTCATGAATTCCTACAACAAAACAAAAACTCGCAAACTCCCTAAAGAAACAAGAACTTGAACTCCCGACCTACCCATTATCAGGTCATGCACCTTATAACTGAAGCAAATTGAGTGTCAGCCTATGCTCAAGAAAACATTTTCATGACAGCAAAAAGTGTTCAGACAAGAACTGAAGAGGAAATTCTACAGCTTTTTCAGGAAAAAAGGTCAAAACCACAATGCAGTGAAAACCACAATAAACACCAAAACTGAAAAAACCAAAGAGTTATGGCAATAAAACCCAAAAAGTGATCTAAAAAATTGCCACAATCACAAAACTGAAAATCCCAATACCATCTCTATTATTAATGGGTCATTTTTATTGTGTTTTGTTATTGATAGGGTCAGACTGTGAAATTTTTGCATCATGCTTTTGAGTGTAACCCATGAATACCATGCCTCAATTTGATAATCCAAATTGTTGGTTTTTCAAAACCCTTCAGCTGGGAGGCATAAAAAACATATCCTGACTGGTCCCACACAAAACAATGAGGATCTCCTAGGAGCAAAACTTTCAGTTTCCCTTGGGGGCAGTCATATATAGCTTATTAATTTAATTTATAATTTGGTATTATCAACAGAGTTGATATCATAAATTGACCACCGCTAAGAATTTCAAAGCTGACATTTCAACCACAAGTCCTTCGTCAGAACTTATTGATTTATAGTGGTAACTGAACTTAGTGGAGTGCAATTTGGGCTGAAATCATACACGTGATTTCAAAATCAAATAATGGAAAAAGGGTTGCAAAATTTGCCACATAAGACTCTTTGGCTTTTATTTTCCTGCAATTTGATTGGTTACCTTGATTAGTTGTTTTGTTTTTAGTGTAGTGTCATTGGATGGGATAAAGATGTGATCTAAAGCAAAAAATGGTGGGATTCATGATCGATTATTCAAATTTAAATCCCAAGTATGGTGTGCCTGACTTCCTAAATAAGAGATTCCGTCGTAAATTAACACGACCCAACAACTAAACGCGGATTAGTATACCGGTTTCGACCTACGGTAAGCTTATGACATACCTGAATAACCTTACAGCCAACCGATACAAGAGCTTTAATTTCCCTGTTTAAAATTTTTGTCAACACAGCACCTAGAACCTTTTGATCCTTGTAGTATTGATCGACGACTGTGTGCGCAATTGTCATGGGTCCCGGAAGAGTAATTTTCACAGGAAGTTTGGATAAAACCTGTGAACTCTTCCATTCTTTCCAAACCCAACCTTCATTTTCCTGCGCTGATACCTCTCCCACAATTTGTGGCAATAGAATTGTTGCAGCGTCGTCGCGAATGGACGTCAGACATAAACTTTTGAAATCAAAGCCATTCAGCTTTCTACAAAAGTAATGGATGTAGTTTTCACGCCGCACTTCCCCATCTGTTATCACATCAAGACCGGCTTTGCTCTGTATTTCAATCACTTCTCGAATAGCTCTGATAAACAATTCTTCTATGTCGGTGGATGAAAAACTCTGCAAAAAGCGATTGTACTCCCTTGGGAAATTTTCGGCGTACGCTGGCTGGAACCAGTCCGGTATCTGTAGGTAAGAAGGCTTCCGAAAACTGCCAATGACTGTAGTTGAAAGGGGCATCAGAAACGCTGATCGTCGGAAAATCGTAAGATTGTTAAGCGCCAAGTTAAGCGCCAAAGCGATGAAACTATGCGCGGCTAGCCCAGTCCCCTGAGGATTCTTCCTCTCCCTAGCTCCTCTCCCTATCACTCCATCCCAGGTAAACCCCTTCCCCGCTTAGCATTACGTCATGCATGCAGACACAATCAATGTCAGATAAGTTAAGCTTACATAATTTTGGGCATAATGTTGCAGTCAAGGTATCGAACATATTGCCGGCGTAACGACCAAACTTCTAAGAAATTCCCATGATGTCCCAGTTTAACAAAGGATAAATTCTGTAGCTAGCCTACGTACTGTCAACAGTGAGCCTACCTTTCGCTTGCACCATTGGAAACCCAAGCTTTGTATGGGAGTTAAGGCTCCTCACTGTAACTCCGTTAATAATGAAGCAAATAAGCTTTGAGCTTGATATAGGGTTGTTTGTGTTATTTTTGTTCACTGATAGCGATTTTAGGCTATTTCGTCGAGTTTTAGCCGAGCTCTCATCCCACTACTGCCTGTACACTATAAGTCCAGAGGCCAGGACCGGAAAATTGATGGCTTGTGGACTACAACAAAATTTAATAGGCCGATGATGGGAAATGGCGTGAGGGGGGTGGAGGCTGAAGGGTTCTGAAAAACTGTTAATATGAATTATCAAATCGAGGCATAATATTCAGGGGAACGCTGAAATTTTGCGAGCATAATTCATCCGACCCTATCACTAACAAAACACTATGTCACGACTCCTATATAGTAGGTCATAACAGTAAAACTTGCCTAACACCGCGTCTTCCCCAACCTTAACCATTATTCTTACCTTTAATAAATTGAAATCCCTATTGCATGAACTACTCAATTACCTGAATACATCTACATCCAGCGGAAACAAGAGCCTTGATCTCACTGTTTATTATCTCTGCCAAAACTTTCCCTAGCGCCCTGTCATCATTGTAATACTGATCCTCGGTGGAGTTTATTATTGTCATTGGTCCCGGTATAGTAATTTTCATAGGCAACGGAGACAAATCTTGAGAAAATGTCCACTCTTTCCATACCCACGCTTCGCTTTCTCGCGGTGTCACCCGGCCAATGATACGGGGAACGTCCGTGACACAAGCACCATCGCGACAGTTTTTAGAAAACAAATTGTGGAAGTCTAACCCTTTTAGCGCCCGACAGAAGTGCAAGATGTAAGATTCTCTCCGTAACTCACCGTCACTGATCACATCAATGCCAGCTTCGGCTTGGATATCAATTATATCTTTTGTAGCTCTCTTGATCAGGTCTTCTGTTTCTTCCTTGGATGAGGTTTCGAGGAAGCGATTGTAATCCTCGGTGAATGTTCCACTGTGGGAGGTTTTGAACCAATCTGGAATGTGCAGATAGGAAGGCTTTGGAAAACAACCGACAACTGTGGAAGAAAGAGGCATCTTTCTTTCTGTTCAAGAATAAACGTATTAAAAATCGATACTTCGCTTGAAAAAGACCACACAACACGGAGATTGACTGTCACGCAGTCTGTCACGCACGGTCACTCAACAGCTCACTAGCTCTTGCTTTACACGGACAAGCCTCTGGATCATTCTCTTTTAGCAAAGCTCATCGCTTCCATGAGAAAAAAATGTCAATGAAATTTTTAACGCTCAGAGAAGTATATTTGAGTTGTGTTGACGAGAAATGAACGTTTTGCATTATTCTCACCAAGAGGAGAAATGGTCATCATTATTACTTCTTGCTCTCAATAATTTCTCATTATAATTTTTAAATTTTGGTCGCAATTTTCATTGAAGAATGGTCATGGTGTCTTGAAAATAATCTGAACGGTGAGAGTCTGGTAAGAACTGTCATTGGTTTTCATTTTTTTAGTAGAAACAGGTGTTAGATATGAAAGCAACAGATTTTAATTTTATCTTTTCCAATCTGAGAAATGTCCACACAGAATGGAAAGAGTGTTTTCCTGTCTCTTTTTTTTTCTTAACTGCCGATATTATAAACTCAGTGGAGATGAGAAACGTTAAAAGTTACCTGGAGGTGGTAGCGTTTTATGGTTGGGGTGTTGTCACATCGTAGGAGGAGGAGAGAGGGAACTTCCCATAATAGAGTGCATGGGGATGTCCATCCAAAAAGGGTATTTTTGTTATGAAGTATAAATGCAAGGGAGCCTAGTTATTAACCAAAACACTTCTTGTTTATCCTCTTCCTCTCTCCTTTACATACCAGGTTATGGTAGTGTAAGGGTCTGGATCTGTGGGCAGAGCTTCCTGGTCAAAAATTGATCAAGTATCTTTAGGACTCCATATGCTTTTTGTATCATACATACTAATTAAGGGGCACCTTTGCTACTACAAACATGGTGGTTAGAGAGCAAGAACAGGAAATAAAGCCTCTTTTTTTTGTCTTTTTTGGTCTTCAATAGCATTCACAATTAAGATGGTGGAATTGCAGGCAACAAAGGATTTCGGAAAGCAAAAGTGTTAAATCATTTCACTCTTATGATTAATCTTCATTACTCAAAAAAGTTTCAAGCTGCACATGCTTACTACTTGTGAGATTAAAGATCTTCCAAATTACACTCCTGCCCCTGAATCATGAAACACAGGAACAGTTTATGTGTTTTCCTCAACATGAACATACATCATGCCCAAATTTGTGAGGTAATTAGCATTTAAATACAACATACAACCCTAGCTCAGACTATTCTCAGTTTTATTTTTCCTTGGAACCAGCACACTGGCAAAAGAGAGCAAAACAACAACAACACGAAAAAAAACAACAGAAGAAAACAGGGAAAATGGCAACACAAAATAAGATCATGTTTTTTAACAAGGCCACCCTTCAAAAAATGAATTGTGATTACAAGTTTAATAATTCTGAGTTTTAAGGAAGTAGTAAAAATAATTGTTAAGTGATCTGTGAATGCATTGTAATAATCCCGGTTAAAAAAAAAAACAACAACACCCAACAACAACAACAACAACATAACAACAACATACGATGAGAACATTTGTATAAAATCATCTCTCTGAATTAATATAAGTTGCTTTTAATTTCTGGGTATGCACATGCAAACAATGCAGTTTGCAAAAGTATTTCTTGTTGATGGAAGATAATTCTCTTTAGTTTATAATATGTTCCCGTGTTATAGGTGACAGGACTGTCAAACTAAATGGACAACTGGCGCATTTCACCATCTATTCTGAGAAATGTGCCCATTTTTGTGAATGTTTGTAGCTCAATTTCAGTACAGTAGCATGACATTGATGGAAATAAAACTGTTTAGTGCTGCCTACTTTGTTTCAGGGTCCAGTTTATAACTCAATATTTTTATTAACAACCTTGTAAGATGTGGTGGATATTCTACTCCTTTACACATTCTACTGGGAATTTAAAGAAGCTCTTTCAAATAAATTAATTTATAACTTAAAATAATTGTACTGCATTCAGGGGTGTACTTGCATCAGTACTTTTAAAAACACCCAACAATAAGTATCCTTATGTAAAGGAATTCTCTCTCTCAAGTCCTTATAAAATTATTCTTGTATTTACACAAAATATTGCAGACGTGTAGTCTTTAAATGCCAACTATATATTACAGTTAATTATAAGGCTATGACATGCTTTCAACATGATGTGGCAGAAACACAATGTCCTACATGATAATTACATGCCTGTGGGAGCACCAGGGATCTCCTTAAGTGCACTATCACATGACATAAGTCTCTTGTGAAGTCTTTCAACTTCAGCGTCACACCGTTTCCTTTTCAGTTTGAGGGAAGAAACCTCCAGTTTCATCCTTTCAATTTCTTTCAGTTTGGTGTTGACCTGTGCATCAATTTCTTTCAAGTAAAATAAATTTGATTGTTAATTACAAGAACAACAAAGATTTGATCTCAAACAAAACTGCAGAAACACTTTGTGTCATGAGTGCAACATATCTCTGGTAAAAACAATTTTGGTAACTTGCCCCTCACTACTCCTAACAGTACATGTGGTATTGTGTACAGAATGACCTTAATACTACATGTGCAAGTTGTAACTCCTTATCAACCCACAATGACCAAAGCAAGCAAAAGGGAGGAAAAACATGTTTGAAGAAACTTAAGTGTTTTGTTATTCTGAAAGCCTGATTTTGCCTGAACAATTATCCTTCTGCTAAATTAGTGGCTCCAATTACTCAGCTAAAGTATAGTTACCCACCTGGTACATAGTCATGGCTTGCCACCAAAATTGCTAAATATACTCTGTATAGTGACCTATGGGAACATCATTGCCCCAAAGTTACAGTTTGGAACATTTGAAAGGCCAGCAAACCTACCTTTGGCTTGAGATTGTATTTTTCGCAGGTTTCCTTCATCCCTACTGCGAGCCCTAGCCAGTAAAGCAGAAACATCATGCAGCAAGCCAGCTTCTCCAAGGTGCTTCAGCAGTGGTGAGTTGCCCAAAAATTCTGGGAACCAAAAAAGAAAAAAGTCAGATACACTTTCTAAAGGTTTTTAAGAAATCTGTTGAAATTAAAATTAGCATATGTCTTTTTTAATGACAGTGTACTGTGCAACAAGAATGGATTTCTTTTCAAAGCCTTTTAAGATAAATTGTCCACAGATTTTCAAAACCAGTGGATTTTTAACATTGAGTTTTCAGTACAGTTGCTGTTGGTCAGAAAACCACTCAAGAGAAAGTCACTTCATTAGATATAGTTCCACATGGGCTGATTCTACAAGAGCCCTTTAACCAGTGAGTAAAAAGGGCCTCCACTGAATGCAAAAAAAAGAGGTAATGCTACGATGAATCTAACTTGAGTGAATGAAATTCAAATGGATGTGACTAAGAACATCAAGCCCTTTTTGCTTGTACAGAGAATTCCATGAGTTGCAGTTTAAGAAAACTCAGTCTGAAAATACCACTAAACTGAGATTATAAAAGTCTAAAATTCAAACAAACAATGTCTCATAAATTTTTAGAAAAATGTTATTTCATGAAGTCTGCTTACTCACTAAACTAATATTATACATGAGTTGGGGCCAAAACTGATTTCAACAGGCCACACAGAATGTTGTTACACAAGGTTTGTTGGACTTAAACCCTGCTAAAAGTCACTTAAACTCACCAGAACATGATGCACTGGATGAAGCTTGCTCTTCCTGTAACTGTTGTATTTGCTGCAAAAAAGGGAAACATCTATTAACAGATGCAGATTAGACCAGAATTAAGTTTTGTAATCCATGCATTGATCACAAAAGCAATTTATTAATTGACAAAACAATACTGAGATTCACCCACTGAAAAGGCTTTTGCAAGCTGATAGAAACTAATCTGATGCAAACCTGTTCAGCATCTTCATTGTCATCGAGGGGCTCTACCTTTATATTCACTGACTGGACATGAGTAATGCGAGGGTAGCTGAGAGAATCGTCATCATCATTGTCAATGATTGAAGCACTTGCAGGGGAATGTCCATCAAGACTGGTTGGAGGTGATGGTGTTGGAAGACCAGAATAAGTAGCTAGCTCTCCTGTGCTTTCCGCTGTGGATAGGTTGTCAAGTACCGATTCATCTGTTTCAACCACCTGATAGTGTGAAAAAATATACTTATCATAACCCATGCAGAGTAAGTTGGGATGTAAGCCCAAAAAAAAGGTAGGAGACAATATATTGACACTTTCACCTACACTTTTCACCAAAAAAGAAGTATTACGTTATTGAAGTCTTACTACAACTGGCCCTTTTTCCTCCCTCTCCTCTTTGTGTAAAAAGATTTTGTTAACTCAACATTCCAAAATCCTGAGATTTGTCTTGAATCATTTTTCCTGATCACTTTACCAGTAAACCTTAACTTTGTGCTTTTTGGGACCAATTCCTTTAACCCAGGCAAAGATATAATAATCAGTATGTTCTGTTACAAAGGGAAGTTAATCTGAACTATCTGTATTTCCTAATGAAAGCCCTGTATGAAAGCCATCCATGGAAAAAAAATTTCCATTCCAATCATTGTAAAAGAATTTAACACTCAGGGTATCACTTTAAATTCGTAATCTGATTTAATCTCCTGTAAATTTTTCATAAAGCCAACCATGAACTAAAACTCTCAATTTTCTATTCCTTTTTCCAGGACAGCATATTTGACATCCCACCCATGACAGTGACACATACTTCTACACTAGTGTGGCTTTAATTGGAAGTGCTGCCTCTCCCCACCCCTACCAGTGATAATAGTATACAGGGGACATACCCTGATTAGTTCCTCCACGAGAGGTTCTGTTCCACCAGCGAGCGCAATGTCTAAAGCCGTCTGACCATCATTGTTTCTGATACTTCTGTCTGCACCAGCCACAATGAGTGATCTGATGGCCTGGGTACAATACTCAACTTTGTGTTTTTCACCACGAGCTAAGATATGAAGAACAGTCTCTCCATCATTGTTGACAGCATTCAAAATAGTATCTGAGTAATCACCCATTTTCTTGCCTTTATTTATTATCACCTCCACGCAAGACAGAAAGAAGTTGGGCTTGTGATCTCCATTAACAAGCATGCTTGCTGCAGTATGAAAAGGTGTGTCTCCATGTGCCTCATCTTTTATCAGCAGAGCTTCTTTTAGAAGGCCAACCATTTTAGAAAATTTAGGGTTCAATTCTTTCACAGTAAATTTAGGTCTAGATTTGTACAGCAACTGGATGGCTCTATGCAGGGCAGTTTCACCATTTCCTGAGGATTTTGCCACAGGGGAGAATCCACTCGCAAGCATCCACTCTAAAGCATTACACTTTCCCAAGGATGCTGCCCAGTGGATGAGTGGACACCTGTTCTCCATGACAGCATCTGGTACATCATCATCTTTGCCCCATCCACCTTTGGTATATTTCTCCACACACTCTTTTAAATTATCAAGATTTGACAAGGAACCCAGCATATCTGTACAATTCACAATGGCCACCAACAGTTCATGATGATCTGGGCATTCCTTGTTCTTGTCACAAAAAGGAGTACATTTCCTTAACATGGGTTCTTGGTTTAGTTTGGGAAATTCTGGATATGCAGTTGCCATGGAGGCCATTATTATCAACAAAAAACTGCAGCACTTCTTGAAAACTCCTTAAATTGCAAGAGCCAAAATCTGAGTAAAAAATTTGAAATAAGAAAATAATTAAATTTAGTAATAAGGGAATTTAGTAATAGATATTCCATTAGGTGGTTCTTCTTGTTTAATGTTTCCAGGTCGAATTGGAATTTGAAAATATAAAGACAACTGAAGTAAGTTAATTCATGAATGTAAATGAGTGACTTTGGTTTGGGACATATTCCACAGAGGTGATCACTTCCAGTCAAAAATAGAGCGATCAGGAATAGCCATGCTTCAGAAGTAAAATTCAGTTGCTTGTGGAAATGTGATTCTCACATGCAATCACATGTAAAAAATTTAGTCATTTGTCAAGTGTCCTTACTGCTGACACAAAGATTCAATTTTCTTTAAAAAGGATTTTTTAAAGCCTGATTCAACCATCACAGTTTCTATAATTATAATTTCTAATGCAATCATAATATCTGAATCAAATGCAATTTCATTAAACCTCTACAACCTAACACCGGTGTCCATATTCTCTACACTTTTGTCTATACATATCTTCAGGTACTGACAAGGAGAATTTGTTTAACAATCAATAGCTGCTTTAGTTAGGGACCATTTCCTCTATTCTCCTGACATTTGCATTTAATTCAGGGTGATATTGTGAGGAGAAATTAGATGTTAGTCACTCTAAGGGATTCAAGGGTTAGATAAGAATTTTATAAAAACAAATCTAAAAGGAGAAGGGGACGATATTGTGTGCTAATTCACTCAATAGCAAGGGTCAGAAATTCGACATGAATTAATTTTAAAAAACAGTCTCCTTTGACCTTTAGAGTGCTCTCATGACCTCTTATGAATCAAAATAATTACAGTTATAGTAATAACCACTTTGGCATAAAACAGCAGTTCAAATGGTCAAATAAGTCTGCTATCTTCGATCAGATGACGCGACGACAAAGCAAATAATATTCGCCACGTCTGCTCTCTGTTCAAAATTTCAATGGAAACATACTGACGTTCACGCCACGGAAATAAACAGATTTGATTGTTTTTCTGATGTCTAGGAAAAAGGATAGTTCGCAATGGCATAACCAGGTTAGAAAAAGTAAACAGTTCCATATAAGATAGGAAAGTATTTACCGACGCCAAACAAACAATAAACAAAGAAAAACACAGCTTGACGTCAGCTGCCAAAAATAAACAACATCGCGCTTGACTATCCCCGTGGAGCCTCTTTAGCTTGGCATGATTTTGAAAACAACATCCGTTTTTTTTTTCTTGCCGGTAATAAAATGGCTATCGAACATTTCCACTGCGTTAGCGTTTCAGGAACTGTGTTTTCGTGGGCTGGGAAGACCGGAGGAAGGTTCCCACAGACGTGAGGAACAGATAACCATATCGACAACCTTCGCCTTCGTTGCCTTTGACGAAATCGCTGAGATTTTCCGTTCATCGAGAATTAAATTGGAATTGGTATTTTTATGACATATATGGCTCTTTAAACCGATAAATACGTAAATGATACTATTATTCTCTCTGACGTAGGCCAAACGCAGCGAAGTCGACATGCCACAGATTTTCATCCCTTTGATGTAAGCGACCTTCCCCTACATGAATACCGCGCAGATTTCTCTCCTGCGAATTGAAACTGTCAAACGCGCCGATTGTCGTTCATTAGCATCACAGATTCCGACTGGAGTGTATACGTTAATGTCACAGTCCTCCAAAACGCACTCAACGAAACAGAGCGAAAAGGATTTCTTTACTGCAGATTGCGTACAGCAATTTCTCACGGAAGCAGCCGTCCGCGTCTGAATGGACTTGCCTTGGTCTTTAAGACAGCGACTGCTTAACTTTTCGAAGTCGGCTCTGTTCGGTCATCCTACGTACTGACGTACATCTTTAAATTCAGCCTTTAAGAATGAGAGAGAGCGGAAACCGACGTAAAAGCACAAGACATCGTATCCCCTACTAGGAATAGCCGTACATACGAGACGCACGCCGCCGACAAACAGAGACGCAAACATCGGTTGTAAAGCATTCTTTTCGCCAGTTCGCCGAATCCAGGCTGCTTCCAAGCGAAAAATTCATTAGGAAACTTCTACTTACCCGATATAAAGAGCTTAAGCAGAAGCAGTTGGCTGTCTACGTTTGGCCACCTTCGCTTGAATACTTGAAGCTGACGAAAATGATTGCACTGCTGCTGCCACCGACATCCCTGAAGGGCGGTAGCCACGGCTGTCAATCAAACTCACCACCGCGGAAGGGCATCAAACACACGTATTATCTTCCTTCGACCTCATAGGCTGCCGCCAGAGTTTTGCATTTCAAATGTACTCGAGTTTGGCACCATAAACAAAAGACTATTGTAAGGTACCTCAACATCTGCAGAGTGGTTGTCAGTTTTCGGCTGGTTCAACCAATCCGTAGCCTGTTCACGAGGCGCCAGTGCTGGTTATATTCGCGTTACCTGTTGTGTATTAAAAGGGACGAACTGAAACAAAGTGTTCCTCAGTATTGTGTTATCGGCTGGCGGGTTATATTCGTCAGCTACATTCAACAGACTGAAGGAAGAAGTGAAACAGCCTTTCTATGTACTGTATACTTACTGTACTCGTCAACGTCGCAGGCTTCAGGAGACGCCGCCGAAAGATTTCCACTGATCAATATTTTAAGACTATGAGAGATGTTGACTCAGTTCAATTCACCGGATCTTGTGACGAGCGAAGCTGTTACACCACATAAACACGGGCGCAAAGCTTCGCTAGCTTTTATTTCGAAAACAAATTGTTTTCTCTTTTAAAACTAATGTAGCAGGAACGCAAAAAAAAAACGAGAAAAAAAAAATTAGATGATGTACTAAGATAAACGTCGGAAGTTTTAAGGAAAGGGAAATACGCAAAATCCGCGTTTCATCCGCGACTGAGCTGTTAGTTTCAGAGACGATGAAAGGACATCCTCGTGAAATCCGTCTGTATTATTTTATCTTCTTATAAGACAACAGAAACAACAAAGAGGTTTTCCTGTGCGCTGGCCAATCTTATTCACGTACCGTTTCTTTGAATCTTTCCGCTCTAGAGGTTTCGCAACTCGATGAATAAAATCTCAGAGTTTGACGCAGTGATTCTTATAATTCGCGGTCAAAAAAAAAAAAAAAAAAACGAGTGCTATGCAATCTAAGGTATCATCCTCCTGGACTTCAAAGACGACCAGTTGGTTTGTGACAAATTGTCGAGAGTTCTCGTGATAGAGAGGGCCTTGGTTCTTAAACCGAGATCTTGACTTTCGCCACCGAGATTACGCAATTAAGATCATAGTCACGAGCCTAAAATTTCCTTATATGATCACCTCATCCCGGTGAGCGGCAGCCCGTTTAGAGTATCTCACCTTGATCCATCTCGGTAGCCGAGCTCAAATTTCCTTTTAATATTGAGAGCAATCGGGTTCAAAACTCAACTCGCAAACAAGGCTGAAATTTCCTACACAATGAAAATTCAAATTACGTGTTGCTAACCGATTCTTGGATTCATGTGAAGAGATCCTCGAACCATTTCAAATATTTTATTTAAAATATTGAGAAGCTGATGAATAATGAAAGCGGCTTGTTTCTTTCACTCCGGAAAATAGAGAGCTTCTACTTTGTGTATAGTTGGCCCTCAACGGAATAAATATCCCCATTACCAACAAGTCTGGCTAACTTGTGACATGAAAATTTTGCGAGTTTTAATTTTGGCGGATTGTTCTCAATCAGAATAAAGAAATTCCCGCTGGCGAGTCTAAGTAAGTTTTTGATAAAATATGTACGAGGTAAAGCTGTCAGTGAAGGCCGGTTAGTCCACTGTGCGATGCCTTAAAGCATCATCAGTCAAATACACCAGATAGAGTCGAAATAATGAGGAGCTTTGCCGTTCGTTATTTGGCTCGCCCTCTGAGCGATGATTTAACAATGATAGAATGTCTTTCAGCAGGTAGCAAAATAATAGTAATATAATAGTTCGACAAAATGGAAAGAGACAAAAGTGGCAATAATGAAGCATGTAAAGTAAATATATAAAGGTTTTTCATATTATGAAGTAATATGCCTGCGATCTAGTTGTTACAAGAATTTTGCTGACAGACAAGTGGTGCTCTGATGAAGGGGGGTCCAGATCCCCCTCAATTCCTCCTCTAGATCTGTCACTGAGAGGGTCGCGGATAGAGAAGATTCTTAAGGATTGCAAAATGCAACATCTGGAAAATTCGAGTGGTTTATTACGAGACGGGAAGAACGCAGTGGCCTCCTCGAGACCTGGTGGCCGAGGTGTTGTGTTGTAAGAAGGTCTCAATGGGGGGAGGTAGGGGATCACGTTGACGGTTAAAAATAAGCCCCGTTGACGGTTGACGATTGAATTTTAGGTCATTTGAAGGTTGACGGTTAATTGCTTGGAATGTCGTTTATAAACGAAATAAACGCACGAATTTGGCTGTAATTTTTCATAAAAAGGTTACAACTTTTCCTCGTTTCATTTAATGATCAAGTTAATCCTATATTTGTGCGTTGAAAATTAGGTTTTTGGACTTCAACTATTTGTCTAATTAGTTTAATCACCTCACCTTTCATACCGCTCGACGTATTGATAGCGTGCTCAACCAAGTGGTGTACTTGTATGAGGAGTCGCATGAGGATCTCAAAGTCCTTGATTATCTGAGATCAAATCTCATCGATGCTTTTATCTGTCTCCCCAATCTTTTAATGAAATTCCTGTGTTCATCAGTGTCCGTGTCACTTTCAAATTCATCCAACTCAGTGAAAAAGGTTCAGGCATCACTGACGAAAGTGACTGCCGTACAGTCGGATGATATGAATCGGAGTACTAATTCATTAACTCGGAAGTGGTCGAAATTTTCATGCAGCTATATCTGGAAAAAAACTCCGATCCGAGTTCTAGATTTTGCCTTCTCGTATACAGCTAGTGGAAGACCGCCTGCTTTGTCTTTCGTCGTCTCGCTTCGAACGGTTCTCTGCCTCACTGGTCTGTAATGTTCTGCTCATTCTTTCATGGCAATTTCCGCCTCTTTTGGAATATTCTCTGCTGTCAAAGAGGTCATGAATTTTTAGCGGTACTTCATGGCACACTAGCCCGGGGAACAGGGTAGTAAGACGTATAATGTGTAAAATAACTGACTTTCCACTTTGTAATCCATTTATGGGACTCCTTTGAGATAGTTCCAAAGTCCATAGCATACTGATTTACACTAAATGTCTCATGTTTGAAATGTGACACGGCATGGAGGTTTTCTACTACATAAGTGAAGAAAGTAGACCAATCGATGTGCTTTGCAAATTCTAGATTAACGGTGTCAATGTTTTCTAAGAGAGGGTTAATTCCTCTTAAAAGAAGCTGAACAGACTGTTGCGTCTTCCGTGACACAGTGCTCTGAGGACCGTCTATGGTTGCCGCTTCTTTCAGATTGTTGTCTTCCGACTTTGGAAACTGTTGATTTGAGATAAGTGTTTATTTCATTCACATTTTCCACCTTTTGGCGTGGTGTGACGTCCTGGGCAACAGTCCCCTTGCAGGTCATTCCGAAGCTATCATACAATAGACCTGGGTGCTTTAGGAATTGTGTTGTCCCCGACAGCTCAGAGATGAGCTTCACGTTCCCTGTTGCCGCATCCGTGACGACTATTGTTTCCCCAACAGTGCAACACCTGTTATAAATAAACGACTAACGTTTTGCGACACTGGAAGTGTTTCCAGACGGAAGTCAGTTCTGTCGCTAGGCCAGTTTTACTCGCGTCTAAAAGTTAAGGGACTTACACATAACTGATATATTAAAACTTCTATTATAAAATAATTCAAACGCGGGAGGTTGGGAGAACACGAGATAAGCTGGAAACCACTCCGCTTCGCGTCGTGGTTTCCTACGCTTATCTCGTGTTCTCCCAACCTCCCGCGTGTTTACATCAGGCTATGTAAACACGGAAACCATTTTACATTTCTTAATTTATAAACAGCAGAACTTGACCCTATTCAAGACAATCGTGTAGTTCTTAATAAGGATATTTGAGACATTTTACGGCTAACTTTGGCTTGCTTATTTGACGGTTGACGGTAAAAAAAACGCGTTTTTAACGGTTGACGATTAATATTTTGGCTATTTGACGGTTAACAGTTAACCACATTTAGACCCTCCTGTTAGGCAGAACACTTTTCTTTCACTGGGCCTGTCTCCACACAGGGGTATCAACGGGTACCGGTGAATGCTGGTGGGTAACCTTATAATGAACTAGCATCCCATCCAGGGAGGAGTGGTAATAATCGTCGCTCCATGCTATGCTTGTACAGACTTTAATTTTTTTTAACCTTTGTAAGATACACTGGGTCGGTTATTTAAACAAAGTTTAGCCGTTGTTTAACAAAACCGCGTTCTAAGTCATCTTCAATTGAACCGAACCTTTGATCTGAACATTTATTTTTGTGAACACCGTCAAGAGTAGTGGAAGGACATTTATTTAATTATATCAACCCTCTTATAGAGTATCCCTGAGTTTCACTGCTTGTATAAAACTGCGGTTTTGGATAGATCTCTTAAGCAATTATGGTCGCTAGTTTTGAATCGTGTTCTACATTTTCCATATTCAAGACTAATTCAACAGTCAGGTAAAAAGAAATTAAGTACACACTTTTTAAGTTTTTCATTCTTGGAAGTTCTATTTACATTTGAAATTGCGTTACAACGGTTGCTCAAACCTACATTGTCACTACATCAGTTGAAACTTCGCAAGCGAAAGGATTATTTTTATAGAAAACACTCGGAAAAGATAAAACCGCTCTGTAAGATGTTCCAAGCGGAAGAACATTCAATTAAATATTACAAACAAATAAACGAGTATTCACTGCTCGTTCAGATCTTTGTTTCATATTTACAGCACAAACGAAATCCTAATGTTCAATTTGTACAAGTGCTGGGAAAGTACGCATGCGTAGTCGTTCAACTTCTGCCCGCAGCACTGCAACCTCCTGCGCTTGCGCTTTGGCGAGGTCCACTAGCTTTCGCCTTGCTACTATGTCCTGCAGGCGGCGCTCACTTCCAGTGTCACTCCGGCCAGCAGCTGTGTGAGAAAAAAAATTATGCAAAAAAATGTAAGAAACTATCTAAAATACATGCCTGCTTACATAAGTAAAAATTAATAAAAAGAAATAAATAAGGTCAAGACAACAAATAAAACGAAGTACACAAACCGAGATCGAAATAATCATCTCCTGAATAGCCATACGATCGAACTAAACCACAAAAAGGGAAAGAAGCTAATATCCAGCCATCTTGACCGAACAAGCTCGGTCAATAAGGGATTTATTATCCGGCAAAAACATTTCGCTTTATTGTGAATAAAGAATGAATTGTTTACTTCGATAGCCGGTAAAGAAAGCTATCTGTGTTTGCAGCAAAATAAACCCACGAGAGTCGCTTATGTTTCCTTTGTTTTGAATGTCCTCCGTTGCTGCTTGCGTCTCCATCGCCGACTTTGTCCAAAGAGTTACGAACTTTGCCAATGTGCCTCACGCAATTTTTTTTTGCTTAAACGGGATCAAAGCGGGCAATCCCGAGCGGGGAAGATGGGCCCATCTTGCCCACTCGGGTAGCCAATCAGAACACAGGATTCGCTTCATATTGCCCACGAGTGCTACCAGCTTTATAACAAGAAAAAGCCACTGGGTCAACTGTTGCGGAACTAAAAAAAGGCTCCAAAGATCCTAACGTTCAGGATTTAATGAAAGTTGATAAAGCAATTATGTCATTCCCGCTAGTTGGATACAAGGTGGTTTTCAATTCACTTCTTACGGCCTCATCTGAGCATCGTATCGATCGCATAGGGCGAAAAAAAAAAAGAAAAAGAAAAAATACAGCAGAACCTATTAAGCGTTCTTTATGACCATGAAAAAAACTCTCTTTCGCTTAAACCTTTATCCCTTTAGAGTGATTAACATCTAATTTCTCCTAACAACGTCACCTCCAAGTCACACATCAAAGTCACAAGAATAAAGCGAATGATCTTTAGAAGCTGTTGATTGTTAAACAAATTCTCTTTGTTAGCACCTAAGACAATGTATAGAGAACAGTGTGGAGAATATGCATACTGATGTTAGGGTTTAAAGGTTAAAACTTTGCTGCTTAAAAAGTCAAGCTTGAGAAAAACGGGAAAAATCAAATTTTGGATCATTGAGTGCTGTCATTTTATTTCTTCGCCTTCTGTCCATATTTTTTCCCTGTTCTATCGTGTAATACCGTCGCATAAAATTTGCGCTTTTCATTTCCCTTTTATGGTAAATTGACGAGAAGCGAAAAAAAAATGCGTAGCACGAAGGTACAACCTATTTCACTAACCATTTGCCTCATTGACATTCCTCCTTTCAGCGACGGACAGAGCAAGTTCCTCTAGATCCGCGTCAAGCTGTTCATTGTCTTTCTCCTTGCGACGTATTAATCTTTTGATATTCTTTATTGTTTCTCTGCGGTCATTTACATTACGATGATGCATCTGAAGGATAAAATATTGGGTTAGGGGAGGGGTAGGTGCGCAGTTGGTAAGATACTGCCATTGACACTTTTTTAATTCCCATTTAAGCATGAGAAATTACACTAAATTTCCTATGAATATTTTAAAGACAATATATTTTTGCTTATTCTAAATTTGATAAAAAAAATGAGAATGATCTCCTACACAAAACAATCCTTGCCTTGAACCGTTCACAGAAATACCCTTTTAAATGTCTTTAGCATTTCTCTATGTTCGTTCATTCCCATAAGCTTTGATGTTACCCACTTTTAGATGTTTTGTGTTTCAGTGCATGAATCACTGACCTTTTCTTGTAGTGTCAAAGTTTTCTCCAGTGTCTCGATCTCCTGCTGTTGCCTGGCTTGCTGGTCACCCTCTGATAGAAACTGCTGGAGTTCCTTGGTAACTCTCAGCAGTTGAATGTCACGAATCTTGGCCTGGAGATCTTCCGACTGCATGTCCATCTTTTTGTGCTCCCTGCAAACAACAGCAACTCTCGTTATGGTGATGTCTATAACGGGGAGTGTAACTTATTGAATAAAATAAACGCTCGTGTCAGTTAAGGTATTCGAAATTTAAGTGACTATAATTAACAAGCGAACTGAAGGGAGAAATTGATAATGTGAACAACCCATATTAGAAAAATTTCTTAAGTTGAAGTTTCCAGCGTCAGTCCAATTCGCTCTGACGAAAGGCTTGGGCTTGAAACTTCTTTACGGCGGCCAATTATACATTATCAACTCAGTTGTACCAAACCATCTTGTAATACCCCCGCCCAACCCTCTCCCCCCTCCCCCCTCCCCCCTCAACCGATGCAGCACCACAGTTTCTTTAGACTTTACCCCTTTATATCAAAAACAATTTTAATAATAAAATAGCACAATTACCACTCCAGTCGATGAATTCCTTTCCTAAACTCCTTGCTGTCCTCCATAATAGTAATCTTTCCTTTCCCGAGAGTCTGGAAACAGTCGCCAAGACAAAGATAGGATATCAGCAAAATTAAAACCTCATTATCAATCGACGAGCTTTCTCCGTGAGGATATAAAAACAGCAGAACAAAAGACAACTCAAGTAAGAGAACACGGACAATCAGCGATCAACTGTTTCGGTTAATATCATTTTTTTACTTTCAGTAAAAACTAAAAATAATCACAATAGCAAATCAGAGTACAGGAAAATATCACAATTAGCCATTGAAAACTCGTAGCAAAGCCAAGCAAATTTCTTAAAGCACGTGAAATGGGAAGTGACTAAGTCATGATTGGTTTTAATCAGGTTACATCTGATTGGTCGAGAGAGCGGCACCAGTTTTCTGTGCCAATCATAGAGCGTAAACTTATAAAATCGCTAAATACTTTAGACACTCAACTTAAAAGCAACAGCAACAGGCGAGTCGATGTTGACCAAAACTACCTAGCATGTCAGTTTCTGGAAACTTCAAGGGAAAATTTGTCCATTTATTTTTATTTACACTACCAAGAAAGACTTATCATGGAAAACTTTCTACTATAAATATGACTTGAACAGAAAATTCCACCCACCGTGATCTGTGCATTAAGGTCCTCTACAACAGAGCGATGAATCAGAGCACTGTCTGTATAATCTGTGATAAAGGAGCCTGGTGTAACCTCCACCTAAATCACAACACAGCGATGGTGAGCTACCTGTTAGTACTGGATTTGTTTGATGACTTTGTAAAACACTGACCTGTCCCTGTTTTAGCAACAGCTGTACTTCCAAATTTATATGAAACTTCATTTTCTCGTCCCGCAATCTACAAAGACAAAAGGTTAGTCAATAGAATAAGAAAGATGAATGGCTGTAAATGTATGACAACCATGTATGTGAACTGCGGACAAAGAAACAAATATGGAAGCGATGTTCGCCGTGATGAACACTACCTAAGCAGTAGGGAAAATAAGGCCTGAAAAAAAATTCAGGCCCGTGCAAAAAAATAATTACTTTTGCTACTCATCGTAGGCCATAAGTGACTTGTGCACTGCATACTGCTTGGATTATTAATGTCGGAAGCGTCATTTGTGTGAGTGGTATAAGAAAGCTGGTCAAAAGAGGTCATTGATTACCTCTGTAGTTCCTGTAAAGTGTGCTCCAGCTCTCTGTTGACTTTTTCATCGTCTTCTGTTCTTCTTTGCAAGAAGGCATTCATTTCTGCTAATATCAACGCTTTGGCCTTGACCTATTAATGAAATTATAAAAGAAATATAAAACGCGCCGAGTGCATTGTTGAACAAGAGAACAAGAACACTTTAGAAGTGCGGAGAAGCACTAGCCGAAGGCGAGTGCTTCTCCACACTTCTAAAGTGTTCTTAAAAAATTCCCAAGTGCTTATATAACTCAACAATGCTCGAGGAACAAGTTTTTTTAATTTCTCTTATAAAATGTATCGTGAATTGCGCGCGCTCGTACCGATGACGTAGGCTGCGCATTATATCTCAACAGTGCACTCGAGTGACGTAAGGCGCGTGCTTTATGGAAATATGATGATATCGTTCTGACCAATCACGGCGCGTGCATTTCTCTGAACATTTCATAATGTCTATAAAATTTCACTTCACATACCTTGAGCATTTTTAGGTATTTGAAGAGCAAGCTTTCACGAGGGCACAAACACCTAAACTCACCATGTTCTTATAGAGCAATTTTCAATTGAGTATGGAAAGTAGTCCGAGATTGCTTCGGTCTTACTCAACTTTGCTATGCACACTGCTTTCAACTTATCAAATGCAAAACCAAAAACAATCGCAATTTGATCATTTGCGTTTTCCCGCCCTTTCAGCAGTTCGCTTGTTTTCACTTCGTGTTCTCATTGGCTAACGATAATGTAAAGCTTTGTTCTGATTAGTCGCTTGGATTATTTTGATTTTATCAACGCTCAATTTTATAACTGCTCTACTCCACTAAGTGGCTACCACCATAACAGCACCGTATGCGCATTTAGGGGAGGGGTACCTTGGTGGTTTATGGCCCTACATTTGAAATCTTGAGGTCTCACTTTCAAAATTTTTATAGTGTCACTAATTTGACTTCATGAGAAATGGGTGGGACAGTGCGTCCAGAATCACGGGAGTATTAATCATGCATTTTGCACTGATGGGTGGGAGGTCTGTAACTCCGGCTGTGACCAAGGTCTTAAAAATGTACCTCCAACAAACAAATCACAGCTTTTTGATTACTTAGAGTGGACACAACTCTTTTCTCGCTCGAAAACTTCACAGAAAACCCATAACTATGTCATCGTGACTAAGGTCAGGGCTAAGAAAAATCCCCAGTACGTTGCGAACCAATCAAATTCTGTATTCGATTTGTAATCTGTATTCGATATTGCGCCCTCTTGGAAATAGGAGTAATCAATTCACCTGCTGTTCACTTTCGACTTTCTCTCTTCTTGTTTGCACCAGTCGTTGCCAGACAGCAGATTCCACTCCTTCAGGCATGTGCTGTTCATCATCTAGCTCATCCATTGCGCGCTCCAGGCTTCTTATGGCGACAGAATTACTACGCGAGGAAGAAGGCCTGGGACCGAATGGACTGCCTCCGTCGGGATGGTCTCCGTGTGATTCTGTGGCAGCTTTAAGTTGTTTCTGTCCTCTAAGAGAAGAAAGAGTCAGGAGAAAACTT